CTTGGCATATTCCACATTTACAACCCTTACGAAGAAGAAGAGGCGTACCTTAAAGACGAAGGGCGAGACACGACTGACGACCAATGACAGACGACCGACGAGGAGCAACGATCGACGAGGAGAGAAGACGAACGACGAACGACGAAGTCAGGTCCTCTCTTTCTCACCCTTTCTCTGCTGTTTCTCTTCTATTCGAAGTAGATTCGAGGTAGATTAGGACATATTTTGATCTGTTTTTGTTTATTTACAAATCGACCCCAAAAAAATTTAGTAAATTGTGAAATTGCCCCTGCGCGTGTCCAAACGTGTCTATAACGTGTCCAAAACGTGTCCGGATGTAAAAAAATTAAAAAAAAAAATGGGACACTCTGCCATGAGTGTCGGACACGTGTCCGACGCGTGTCCGTGTCCGACACTGGTACGGAGCCCTTGGAGAGGTGTCCGTGCTTCATAGGCTCTAGGGTACTCGGGAGCTTTTATTTGCACACACTCAATCCACTCTGTGCACACACTTAATGATAATTATTTTTATTACAATTTTATTCCCAAGTGAAATTACTATTATGGACATCACACACAATTCAAATATACACATTCGGAAGTTGAATGTCAAAAGAAATGATAATTTTCGGAATTCTACTTCCGAACAAATTGTTTATTTTCGGAATTTTACTTCCGAACAAATTGTTTATTTTCGGAATTTTACTTCCGAACAAATTGTTTATTTTCGGAATTTTACTTCCGAACAAATTGTTTATTTTCGGAATTTTACTTCCGAACAAATTGTTTATTTTCGGAATTTTACTTCCGAACAAATTGTTTATTTTCGGAATTTTACTTCCGAACAAATTGTTTATTTTCGGAATTTTACTTCCGAACAAATTGTTTATTTTCGGAATTTTACTTCCGAACAAATTGTTTATTTTCGGAATTTTACTTCCGAACAAATTGTTTATTTTCGGAATTTTACTTCCGAACAAATTGTTTATTTTCGGAATTTTACTTCCGAACAAATTGTTTATTTTCGGAATTTTACTTCCGAACAAATTGTTTATTTTCGGAATTTTACTTCCGAACAAATTGTTTATTTTCGGAATTTTACTTCCGAACAAATTGTTTATTTTCGGAATTTTACTTCCGAACAAATTGTTTATTTTCGGAATTTTACTTCCGAACAAATTGTTTATTTTCGGAATTTTACTTCCGAACAAATTGTTTATTTTCGGAATTTTACTTCCGAACAAATTGTTTATTTTCGGAATTTTACTTCCGAACAAATTGTTTATTTTCGGAATTTTACTTCCGAACAAATTGTTTATTTTCGGAATTTTACTTCCGAACAAATTGTTTATTTTCGGAATTTTACTTCCGAACAAATTGTTTATTTTCGGAATTTTACTTCCGAACAAATTGTTTATTTTCGGAATTTTACTTCCGAACAAATTGTTTATTTTCGGAATTTTACTTCCGAACAAATTGTTTATTTTCGGAATTTTACTTCCGAACAAATTGTTTATTTTCGGAATTTTACTTCCGAACAAATTGTTTATTTTCGGAATGCTACTTCCGAACAAGTTATTTATTGAAAATGATGTGCATAGAGTGTAATGGGTGTGTGCAAATAGAAGCTCTCAGGGTACTCTCTCTTATATTTCTACTTATAAACCAAAGATTACAAAACTACCCTTATAGCTAAATACTCAACCAACAACATCAACTATGCATATGATAATCCTTACATGACAAGGGCTGGTTATCAGTTACTATGTAATACCAAAGATGCGATGGTGTTATCTGTAATTTCACCTTTCTAACATTTTATATGTGTTGGAAAAAAGTTTAATTCAATTATAAACCCTGAAAAATATATTACAGATAATTACTTTTTCTTGTTTTTATTTTCTTTCCACTTCATAGTTATTGAATTATTTATGTTGTGTTTGGTTGGGAGATTTGAGAAGGGATTTGGAAAAGGAAAGAGAAAAGGTGTGTGAAACTATGTACAATGTAGGTATATTTTATTCACATTTCACCGACATTTTTCCTTTTCCTTTTCAAATTCCTTCTCAAATCCCCCAACCAAACAGAGCGTCAAAGTCCCATTTTGTGGTTTTCATGTGTGGTGTCACATTAATGTTTATTGGAAGTAGGTCTTCAGTTATTTGGTTGTAATTTTCATTTTCCAGTTCAGAATAATCTGATTGAAACCTTAAAATTATGATTTGAATAGTATATAAAAATGAGGGTTTGAAGTTGTGATACTATGTCTATGTCACACCCATAATTTTAATTTTATGACATCAAAGTTATGTTTTTGTCTGTTGTTATTCGGAGTTCTACATTGCAGCTTGTTCAGAACATTGGAGATATAGTTATCTGTAAACTTTGCAATCCAACCAAATATAATATGTTACATGTACTCTTATAAATGTTTGAAGTACTCATGTTGGATACTTGACACTTGGGTAAGGGTATGGGATACGATTCCTATATGTATAGTTGGGCATTCACATAGCAAACATATTTAATAATTTGAGATTTACCATAAAACAATGCATATCTTCTAACCCCCCCCCTCCACCCCAACACACACACACACACACACAAACACACACAATTTACCGTGGAATGATCTATTACACCTTGTGAACACCATTTTACGTTAAAAAATAAAAGAAGTATATTAAGAAATGTGAATACTTTTGCCATGCCTTGTGACATGCGAAGTAGATGAATCAGACATTCATACCCTCGGCTGAGTCCTTGTAACATGGATATCAGTAGACACACATTTTGTTTTCATGTACTTTAAATTCATTTTTTAACCAATAACACTCTTCATTTTATTTATCTTTTTGCAAATTGATGCACCAGGTGGTACATTTGTGAGGAAACAGCTTTGTGCATTTGGACTGGCATCTTGTACATTACGTATTTAATGGCCAATTTTTCAAAGGCGTGGTATGCTTCCTTCTAGGACCTTTATATCAAAGGGGTTTGGTTGATTGCCCACAACCAAAAAGAAGAAAAATAATAATATTTAAAGAAAGAAAAAAGGAGCCAGTATTTTGTAAATATGGCAATCTTTATGATATCGTAGCTTGTTAAAATTCCCTTTCCATTTGCATTTTTCAACTATCTAATGTTGGATTCTGGAATGGGTTTGTTTCAGGTGGATAGATGTAATCATGATCTTGCTGTTGTTTGCTCTGTCAGTTTCCCTCATCTTTCTGCTCCTTCTTCTTCTTTTCCATACGTAAGTATTTATCATTCCTTGAAGATGCAACCCTTTTCACCATAGAACCATGGATTGGTTTATATTTATCAGCAGAATTTTTCTTCACATTGTTGTAGCCATGAGAATCAGAATGTTTCAGGATTTAATTGTATATTGTTTGGTGTAGCTACATGTTGTCTATGCCACGTATGGATTGAGTTCCTTAATTATTATTTCTGTCATGATGCTTTATCTAACTAGCTTTTTCATGATATTTTGGTGCTAAGATTTGATAATTGTAAATATGAAGACACCTGCTTTAGATTTGAAAGGTTTTGGGACAAGTAAAACAAATGACAATTTCATATGTTAGTGTAGAGCGGTTAAAAATAGAAACAGGGATTGATGGCCAGAGGATGCCCAAGAGTCAGTTTTTAAGTTTTTTATCGTTACTGAATTGACTGTCCATAAGAGGGGCTAATTAATGCAGATTGCCATTTAAATTGAACCGTGATGGATGAAGATAAGAAAATTTGAAGTGAAATATGATAATTGGAATCCTTACAAGCTAAGATATAAAGCCGCCCAAGAATTCCAACACAAATTGCTGGCAAAATGAATTATGTCAAGAAAGTGTTAGAATAGAAAATAAGTTAGAATAGGAAATGTGTGATTGTGTGATTGTGTGATTGTGTGATTGTGTGATTGTGTTTCCTTATATTATGCCTTATGGCACTCCTATAATTACTCAGTATTATCAATATAAAAGGAAATGAAGTTTAACTTATTCCCTAACCCTTTCTTTTCTCTAAACTTACATGGTATCAGAGCCAAAATCCTAGCCCCTCTCCTTTGCTCTCCTCCTCTTCCGCTGCCGGCAGTCTCGTTTTAACAGCCCAGTCACTGTAGACTCTCACCCAGCCACTGTCGACCTATGGGCCACCTACACCTCCGATGCACTTACCCTAGTTGTCGGCAGTTCTCTTGGACTCTCCGACTGCCTCTTGTACTTACTCGGCAGCCCTCCTAGTTGTCTAGGGGTCTGTCTGTAGTTCCTCTGGCATCCTAGGGGCCTGTCGGCAGCCCCTCTGGGCTTGTGGGCTCCTGTCGTTGTCGACTGGTCGTCTCTCCTTGAGTCTTCTGTCGTCTCTCTCTCTCAGTCTGAGTCTATAATGTTCTCTCTTTAAAAGGCCATCGTTAACACACACACACATACACAAAACAAAAAAACAAAATTCTAGTGATGTAAAAAAAAAAAAAATCTGGCTTCTTAATTCCTTATGTTTTTCTAGTTACTATTGTGCTTGTTCCTCCACCATCTTCCGAGTTTGTGATTGGTCTTGGGTTTGAGGGTTGCTTCGTAGAATCTTCATGCAGATTTCACTAGTGAGTCAACCACTTCTCAGCCGCTTAAGAGCGAGGGTTCCGTTATCCCTTCTACTATGATGGGTAATCTTAACCCTGACCTTAAAATCATCACTTCTCTATTCAATGGTTAGAACTTTCTAGCGTGGTCGCAGGGTCTGACTATTTTCTTGAAGAGCAGAGGGAAGATGGGGTATGTTGATGGCAGGATACAGGCACCCACCACCACGGACCTAAGTTATGATCAATGGGAGATCACCAACTCCCTCATTATGGGTTGGTTGATACATTCAATGGTCCCGGAGATTAGAGAGGGCTATCTCTCTATGGACATTGCACAGGATATTTGGGAGGCAGTGACTGCCACTTACTCCCGGAAAGGAAACTTCTCCCAGGCTTTTGAGTTACGCCGCTCTATTGAAAGGTCGGTACGAGGTGAGATGACTATCTTTCAGTATTTTACCTTCCTTAGCAATGGGTGGAAGCAACTTGATCATCTTCAGGATTACAAACTAGTCTGTCCCACTGATTCTGTGGGACGTTTGTGGCACAAGAGCGGGTCTTCAAGTTCTTAGAAGGCCTAAATGTGGAGTATGATCTAGTGCGGAGCAGAGTCTTTGGCATGGATGTGCTTCCTTCTCTCCAGGAAGCCTTTGCTTTTGTGCAGAATGAGGAGAGTCGCCGTTCTGCGATGCTTCCCTTTGCCACTCCTGATCGCTCGGCCTTGGTCTCTGCACCCCTTCGCAATGGTGACTATGTCACTCGTGGTTCTTGTCCTTCCTTTGAGAAGGATAATCTTTTCTGTGACTATTGTCGTCGACCTCGCCGCACACGAGAGACCTGTTGGAAGCTGCATGGGACTCCTTCTGGTGGCCGAGGAGACCGTCTTGGTACTCGAGGGGATAGGTCTAGTTCGTCTAGAGGCCGAGGGACCAATGCTCGGGCACACCTTTCAAACACGGTTGAGCAACCATCTTCATCTCCGATTGTCTTCCCTACTGCTGATGTTTCGGGGTTATCTGCCTCGGATTTTGAAATTGTTTTTTGCCACCTGCTAGTTCGTCGAGCCTCCACTTCTGCTCCAAATGCACCCTTTTCTTTCTTTGCCAATTCAAGTAACTTGGCTTCCTTCCCATGTGCATTGCTATCTCATACGCTTATACCATGGATTATTGATTCTGGTACTTCTGACCATGTCTGGCTCTTCTAATTTACTTTCAGAGTATAACCCCTCTGGTCAGGACAAAGTGCGTATTACTGATGGTACTTTTTCATCTGTGTTAGGAAAAGATTTAATTCATGCCACCTCTTCCCTTCCCTTCCCTTGTCTTCTATACTCCATGTTCCCAATTTTAGTGTTAATCTTTTATCTTTGTGTTGTATTGGCCGTGACTTAAATTGTAGCGTGACATTTTTTCTTGATCATTGTCTCTTTCAGGACCTTATCACGAGGAAGAGGATTGGCAGTGGTAGAGAGGAACGTGGTTTCTACATTCTGGATCAAACAGACAAGCTGGCCCATTCATCTATTCAGTTACCACCCACCAAGGACGACATTTGGCTGTGGCATCGTCGCTTAGGACATCCCTCTTTTTTATTACTTAAGCATTTATTTCCTTCTGTCTTTGAGAAAAATAATGTGTCTGATTTTCAATGTGAGTCTTGTCAACTTGGAAAATAACACAGCCTCTTTTGCTTCTTCTATTAATAGAAGTTTAGTTCCCTTTTCTTTGATTCATTCTGATGTCTGGGGTCTATCCTATTTTGTGTCTTTAACCGGTCAAAAATGGTTTGTTACCTTCATAGATGATTGTTCCAGGGCCACTTGGGTATATTTGATGAAAGATAAAAGTGAGGTATTTTCTGTGTTTCAAAAATTCCATCAAATGGTTTGTACTCAGTTTGGGGTGGTTGTCAAAATTCTCCGTTCTGATAATAGGGGGGAATATATTGACTCTGGTCTTGCCACTTACTTCGCCACTCATGGCATTATTCACTAGATTTCATGCACTAATACCCCTCAACAAAATGATGTTGCAGGACGCAAAATCGCCATCTCTTTGATGTCGCCCGTTTTCTATCCTTTGAGATGCGGGTTCCTCGATCCTAGTAGAGGAAAGTGGTTCTCATTAACCCCGCTTATTTGATTAATCGTCTTCCTACCCAAGTACTTCAAAAACAAATACCTCTTAAAGTTTTGTTCGGGTCTACCCCTTCAGGGTTCTCCATTTCTCCTAAGACTTTTGATTGTGTTTGATTTGTTCATAATCATTCATCCACTTGTGGTAAATTAAATCCTAGGTCCATTAAGTGTGTTTTTTTGGGTTATTCTGCCACAAAAAAGGGTTATAAGTGTTATCATCCTCCCACTCGCATATGGTTTGTCTTCATGGATGTCACTTTCTTTGAGTCTCAGCCTTGCTTTCCGACCTCCCTAATGTCACAGTCATTCCTTTAGGGGAAGCCTTGGTGTGAAGAGATTCTTGTTCCACTTTTACTCGTGGTTGTACAGATAGAGGATGATGAGCTAGTAGTTGTTGAGGAAAAGGAAGCAGGCAAAGTTTATATCAGGGAGAAGGACAGATAGCAAGTCACCTGGATGCAAGAGACTACTTTCCTTCCTCTACTGCCAACTTCTTCTCCGGATGAGTGTCCAGAGTCAACTCCCTCTCCTGAGAGTCTAGGTAATTCTGATTCTAGTGCTCTTATTCCTGATTTTTCAGATCTTGATGTTCTCATTGCTAATAGGAAGGGGGTTAGGTCATGTACTCAGTATTTTATAACTAATCATGTCTCTTATTCTAATCTGTCTGCGTCATATAAAGCTTTTCTGTCTAAAGTGTCTTCTGTGAGTCTACCTATCAATTTTCAGGATGCTCTCTCTATTCCTGAATAGAAGCATGCCATGATGGAAGAGATGAGAGCTCTCAGCAAGAGTGGCACTTGGGAGTTAGTGGAGTTACCTAGAGGCAAAAATCTTGTTGGGTGTAAGTAGGTGTAGTCGGTAAAAAAACAAGCCGATGATTCCATAGAACGATGCAAAGCAAGACTGGTTGCTAAGAGCTTCACTCAGACTTATGGGGTGGATTACCAAGAAACATTCGCACCGGTTGCTAAGATGAATTCTGTGAGAATCTTATTTTCTCTTGTTGCAAATTTGGATTGGCCTCTTCATCAGTTTGATGTGAAGAATGTCTTCCTTCATGGAGATCTAACAGAAGAGGTCTATATGGATATTCCTTCTGGTTTTGCGAATGCTAAGTCCAATGGTAAAGTATGCAGGCTCCGAAAGTCACTTTATGGGGTAAAGCAGTCTCCTAGGACTTGGTTCGAAAGGTTTGTGCAAGCTATGCTGAAACATGGGTTTCAGCAAAGTCAAGCTGATCACACCTAGTTTGTGAAACACTCCACACATGCTAAGACCACAGCTCTTATTGTCTATGCTGATGATATTGTTCTGACAAGAGATGATATTGAGGAGATTCCTTGTTTGAAAGAATACTTAGCCAAGGAGTTTGAAATCAAAGACTTAGGCTATTTGAAGTATTTTTTGGGCATTGAAGTAGCTCGGTCCAAGGATGGCATTTTCATATGCCAGAGAAAGTATATACTTGACTTGCTAAAGGAAACTGGATTGCTTGGAGGTAGACCATGTGATACACCTCTAGAACCGGGTTAGAAACTGAGTGCGGATTGAGAGGGAGATCCAGTGGACCGGGGGGGATACGAGAGACTAGTGGAAAAGCTCATATACTTATCCCACTCACGTCTAGACATTGCCATTGCCGTGAGTATGGTGAGTCAGTTTATGCATGCTCCGAAAACTTCCCACTTAGAGGCAGTTATGAGAATCTTGAGATACCTGAAATCTTCTCTTGGAAAGGGTCTCTATTTCTCAAAATATGGCCATCTCAGTGTGGAGGCATTTACTGATGCAGATTGGGCTAGATCCATCACTGATAGACGATCAACTTCTGGATATTGCACATTTGTTGGTGGTAACATAGTCACATGGTGAAGTAAAAAACAGAATGTGATTGCTAGATCTAGTGCTGAGGCAGAATTCAGGGCTATGGCTTAGGGTGTATGTGAGTTACTATGGATTAAACTATTGTTGGGAGACTTGGGTATCCATTAGAATGACTCCATGTGAGTATACTGTGACAACAAGGCCGCAATCACTATAGCTCATAATCCCGCTCAATATGATAGAATTGTGGAGATTAATAGGCACTTCATCAAGGAAAAACTCACTAGTGGTATCATATGCATTCCGCTTGTGAAGACTGGAGACCAACTAGCCGATGTTCTCACCAAGGGGCTAGGGAGTAAACCATTTCATGGCATTCTCAACAAGCTGGGTATGAGAGATATCTTCGCACCGACTTGAGGGGAAGTGTTTGAATATGAAGTAAGTTAAAATAGGAAATGTGTGATTGTGTGATTGTGTTTCCTTATATTATGCTTTATGGCACTCCTATAATTACTCAGTATTATCAATAAAAAAGGGAATGAAGTCTAACTTATTTCCTAACTTTTTTTCTCTAAACCTACAGGAAGCATAGTTTGGATGAAGATGCTGATAGATGAGTAACAATATAGATAAGATAGTGGCAGTTGGGATGGGATAAAGGAAGTCCATTTAGGATTTTATGGTTGAGACAATGGAGACCCTAGACTGCAAATAAATAAAGGGAGTCTATCCAAATTGAAGGAAATACAGGGACCTAGGCTAAAGAAGAAATTGAGTTGAGACATGATGGCATATGAATTTAGGATACAATGAAGATTTTTTTAGCTGATTGTGAGATTAAGATTATGCTGTGAAGGTGATCTTGATTAATTCAATTAGAAAATGCTCTTATCCTTTTGTTCTCTTTAAGTTCAGCCTGTGTATTGTGATGCTACTATTATATTCTGAAGCTGTTATGCGCTTATTTTTTATTTTTTTATTGAATTTAGTTAGATTTGGATTTGCTATTTCTGTTATCAACTAGTGAAAAGTTTTCTGAGATGGAATTGGCAGTGGGAAAGCAGAGACAGGGAGTTGGAACTTAAAATTACTTGATGGACTGGTTTTTCATGACAGGGAAATGATTGAGCTGGACAGTTGATTAGTGTGGCTGGCTACTTTCCAGGCTCAACATTGAAAAAAAGACAATTAAGAATCAATGGCTAGGGCCATGAAGTGACTTATTCCATATTCCTTATGGATAGGTATCTGTATTACTTGCTAATAAAGGTGAAATGTATCTCGGGCAATCTTATAATTGTGTTGTTTTTGGCCGAAGTGATAGGTAGTTGTGAAAAGCTTGAGAGTTCTGGTATTTTAGCTTGATAGATTTGTGAATAGGGCTACAAATGAGCCAAACCAAGCTGAGTTTAGTGGTAGTGTGTTCAAGCTCAACTTGATGAAAATTAGTTGAGTTCGAGCTCAAGCTTGGCTTGTCTGGTGCTTGAGGAGCTCAAGTTTGAGCTTGAAAAGAAAAACCATATATTAGACCAAAGATGTGACAACCCAAACAAACAGACAAAACCCACAAGTAGAGGAACACAGTTCTGAAGATCAAATAATAGAGAATTTCATCAAGACACAGAAATTTCAACAAAGAGAAACCCAGAAAAAAGCTAAGTTACTTGAGTTGAATAATATAGTTATGGAGTTTAGAGGATGGAAAATGCCCCCAAGATAGAAGGAAAAGTGGTAAATGTGAAACGCACAAATGTCAGGACAAATATATATGGCCATGTTCGGTTTGTATTTATGAAATAATTTTGAAAAATAATTTTCTGGCCACATCCGTATCAATCTCCTCCGCCGTTATTTGTGGTCGATTATCACAATGGCAGGGGAGATTGATGTGGGTGTGGCCTATAGGATTAAGGCGGGATGACTTAAGTGGAAAAGTGCGTCTTGGGTACTGTATGATAAACAAATACTCACTAGATTAAAAGGTAAGTTCTATAGAACGGCTATTAGACTAGCGATGTTGTATGGGACGGAGTGTTAGGCAAGAAAGAAACAATATGTCGATAAGATGAGTGTTGCTGAGATGAGAATGCTAAGGTGAATGTGTGGCAAAACTAGACAAGACAGAATTAGGAGTGAGTGTATTCGGGATGGATAGGAGTAGCACCGATAGAAGATAAGTTGAGAGAGAATCGATTGAGATGATTTGGTTATATTCAACAGAGACCAATAGAGACAATAGTGAAGAGATGCGATGCAGTGACGGTAGATGGAAGTGTTAGGAGACCAGGTAGGCCTAGATTAACATTGGCTAGCATTGTAAATAGAGATCTGGATCTACTTAATTTGACTAATGAAATGGCCTTTGATAGAGCCGCGTGGAGGAGGAGGATTCATGTAGCCTACTCCATTTGATGGAACTTAAGGCTTGCCTTGGTTTGGTTTGGTTTGTAGTTGAATAGATGGGTGTGAGAGAAAAAATGATTGATTGATGTATAGGATGTGAGAGAATGAGAGAGAAGAGAGAAAAAGTGATTGATTAATGTGTAGTAGAAAGAAAAGTGATTTCAATTTATTTTTTTTCAAAAATTTTCAACCAAACAAATTTTTAAAATTTTTTCTCAAAAATTGTTTTTCAAGGGACAAACCAAACAAGGCCATAATATTCCAAGTCATGAAAAAGAGGAGAGAAGATGAAAATTCAAACACAGAGGAGGCATACAAAGAAGGCCAAGACTATATATGGCCCCAAAACATCATCATCATCATATCATTGTATATAATTTCATAAAGCAGATGATTAAAAATGAAAGAAGATTGAAAACCCAAAAAATCCCTGAAAAATCTAAACTCTGACCCATAACAAAATAATAGGAAAGAAAGTATCAAATGGCACAGAACACAAGAACACCCATCAAGAGAGAGAGAGAGAGAGAGAGAACCTAGCTGTATGTAATGTCGATGAGCAATTCTATAATTAAATGAGCCCAAAAAATGTGACTTGAGTTTGTTTACTTACTAAATGAATGAACCATGCTCAAAAGAGCTTTAAATGAGTTGAGCTTGAACTGGTCATGAACAACTTGATTTGTTTATGAACACTAGATGAAAAAAATGGCCATACCTGTAATGCATGTGTAGCTTTATAATTCAGTTGTTGACTTAATGTGTTGGCGTTGCCAATTGCCATTTTCTTGTATGAAATGTTTGTCTTGAATGAATGACATTTAATTTTGTGACACCCACAAAAGAAAGTATTTTTGTACATATGTTTGGTTCTTTGTGTTTGCGTGGCTGTATTATATTTTTCACAGATTTTTTAAACTGGTATTAACTGAGGTGGCATGTGGACCCCCCTAGTTTTCATAAGAACATTTTGTTGCCTTCATCAGGCAACATCAAATTTTGAGCATAACCATTATAGTTCTCTAATCTTGACACTTCTTTTCCCCCTTCTATATGACAGCTATCTTGTTCTAACAAATCAAACTACATATGAGCTTGTAAGACGACGGCGCATCCCATATCTAAGGTCAGTCTTCCATTTTTTTTTTTTTTTGTTTCTTTAAAATTGAATTATAATGATGAGTGTAAGAAGACATCTAATCACGGTGCATACATTTTTTTTTTAATTAATTTAGAAAGGAAAAAAAAACACTTGAAAATGAAAAAAAAACACAACATAAATGATTGATGGTTTTATTAGCCAATTTGATCAAAAATAGGAAATGTTCAGAAACAAATGCAAGTAAACGAGCTTCATTGGCCAAAAGTTGGAAGCGCGCAAGTGGTAGGACTGTTAGGAATTCATAATACCTAACTAGGATTGGTGAAAATACGAAAATAGAAACAAACAAACACACAAGAAAGATAAATCATACGCACACATGAAGAACACAAGATTTACATAGTTCACCCCAAACTAGGGCTATGTCCACGGTTTCTGCGGTTTTTCACTATTATCTAAAAAGATTACACGAGATTACAAGAGATAGACATCTCCCCTCAACCCTAAATATATAGAAATTAGGGCAACACGTCAGAAGTGCAAAAATACCATAAATGACCTTAATAAAAATATAAAGAAGGGATTGGGAGTGGTTAGTGTCCAATACTTATCATCATCCACACAACCCCAACAAGGACAACCTGCTTAACAAATCTCATCGAATTTGACCTAAAATTACAAAGATGAGATTGGGTAAGTAATAAGGAAACACCAACAGAAAGAAAATGTGATGATAATTATCCTTGTAGTGGTTTGTTATCCAATTTCAGTTAATACTTTGCATTGATTCACAGGGGGATTCCTGAAAGAGTTTATCCATTCAGCAATGGAGCATGCAGAAATTTGAAGGACTTTTGCTGTGCTAGAAGTGGCGTATACAAGTTGGAACCATTACGAACAACACAGGAGCTTGAAGAAAAGGCAAGACCTTATACATGCATGGATGTTTTGTCTTGTCGTTGCTGTTGCTGATAATTTGCTGCTTGTATCATTCCTCACCATTACAAATTTTTTAATTTTATTTTCCATGAACTTCACTGTGATCCTATTATAGAATTGTAACCATTCGTTTTAGGGATTTGAGTTGAGGCATTGAAAATATGTTACTACTGTTTGTGGGTCACATATGTTTGTTCTTGAGATGGTTTTTTGATCCTACTGGTTTTCCCTGCTTAAAAATCAGAAAATTTTCTGAGGTGTCTTTTGCTGTTGCTATTAATTCCACTCAATTATGTTTCATGTTTCCAAATTCCAAGTTTGGGGTTAATGTTTTCCAACCCAATTTTACTATATATAGTCTACTTGTTTAAAAGGAATGAAACCAGCTGAACTGAGCACATACATTTCCTTCAAGTCTTCCATGTCTACCTAGTGGGCTGGGATCCTTGGTCCTCAAAATGAGCCTGTCTTCTTGTCCCATGCATTTACAACTATAGAATCTTGTATAGTTAATTTCTAATTTTTAAAAAATCTGATCATATGACTATGGTAAGTGTATTGGACATGATGACAGATACTTTGAGGACATAAAATCCGCGTCCCCTAGTTAGCTAGAAAACAGAACCAAAGCTTAGAACAGCAATTACATGACATTCTTAGGGTGTGCTAAACCAACAATTACTTCATCAGAGTCCAATTTATTGAACTTTATATTACAAGTCATGGAGAGGATAATGGTTAGCTACTTAGCAGGATGGTTAGGTGGTAACCTGAACACATGCATGCCTGGATCTCCTGCTGATCACAGAGGATGATCAACAAGTGAATTTCATGATCATTCACCAAATGCCTCAAGTAAATTCAAAGGCTGAGTTCATTTAGAGTTTTTCCCTTGCTCTCCTGCAGCTTGTGCTTCAGTGATTACCACAAACTGCAAGTTTGAACAAGTTTTAGAGTGGATGGGGGCGCATTTAGTTTTTTAGAGTAGATGGGGGTGCATTTAGTTGCTCTTTCTCGGGTGATGTTCATTCCGGGTCCATCTTGTTTGATCCCTGTTCCTTCATAGCTGGAATTAGGGTGATTGGAGTGATTGGTGGCCAAGCTTTCTTGCATCATGAAGGACTTCACAAAAATGTGACAGTGGTGGAGATTTGGTTCCACCACAATTTTCTCAGCATTGTAATTTTCACCATGAAGGATGTTGAACTTAACAAAACACACATCATTTGGATATGAAGTATACCAGTATGCTATCAAGTTTCCCATATTTTACACACTAGAAACTGACAAAGTGGTTTCCATCTTGAGTGATAAAAGTTAATACCAAACAATGCTGTCAAGTTTATATATACACAGGGAAATGTGCTATGAAGTGGATTGGTTCTCATCCTTGAACACAGGAAAATAAAATGTGCAAAGGCAGATGATTATATTGACTATTGATTTGATTCATAAATGTTCTCCCTCAGAATTTTATTCAGCCATTGGAAACACTGAAAAAATAAGTGACACTCAAAGATCAATTGATGCGGAATTAGTTAAGTCTAAGTTACCATACAAAATTTTGTTAAAAATAAAACAGGGTTCCAAACAGAAAAAAAATGCAAAACAGAGCTACTTTCAAAATTGCACAGCTCAACACATCTGTCATATTTCCAGAAGAATCAAATGAAATAATTGCAAAATGCAGCAGAGGTGCAAAGCAAAAGCTAAAACACAGTATTTTCTATATAAACTCTGTAATTTGCATTAAAATAAAGATGAAGTCGACAAAATAATGAAATGGTGTCCCTGTCAATTACAGTACCCAAAAAAGAAACTTCTGCAACCCACATTATTTAGGATCTCTATACGATTGAATAATAGGTAAATATCATACACGAAATACACATTAATTCTCTTAGGTTTGGGACTTGCGATACTTGAGTGCTTCAAAACGCGCAGCAAGAGCATCATAATCTGGCAATTTTGGATGAATGCGAGGAACTTGAGAGGCAGGACGGTTTGGCGGTATATGGTTGCCATCAGTAGGTTCTTCCATGTCAATTTCTTCGTCACAGTCCGATTCATCAAACTTGATATCACAACGTGCAGGTGGGACATTGTAGCTGTGTCTCCTATTAACATTTTTCACATCCATGTTGGTCGGCATTATGTCTTCATTGCTTGAATAATGAGACCTTCCAACACTATGTGACTTGTACGTCTGGGCCGGGACTTCAGATTTATCATCCATATCTTGATAGTTGATTGGATTGCCATTGAAGTTATTACTATAACCAAATGCCTCAGAGACCTGACTTGGGTCTTGTTTGGCCAAATAGGCTGCAGCTTCTGCCGCAGCCATTGCTTTCTTTGCAGACTCAGCAGCGGCTTCAGCAGCAGATGCAGTGTCTTGAAAATGCATGGCATCCCTTTCCGTGTTACCTGAATATCTGGGTCAAAAGACATTAAAAATTGTGGTACAAAGAACAGACAATTTCATATAAATCCTCTGCGCGCTAATAGAATTGAGATGAACATAAAAAATCAAATCATTTGTAGATCTTGAAAGTAAAACTAAGTACTATTCAACAGTGATACTTGTGCATTCCCGTTGTAATACCCATTCTCATGTTTGGTTTTGTAAAAAGGAAAGAAATTTACATTGGAAATGGATTCTCACCATTCGCCAATTTAAGAGGAATAGCCTTTCCATTCCTGCCTAAAATCATTTCAGTGAAACTACCTTAGGGTGCACAAATTACCTGGAGATTGGCTTATTTGGTTCAGTAGATTGCCTTGGTATAGGCTTTACAGGTAGGCTGCTGGCACTAACAAAAGTTCGTGGTCCTTCCTGATCAAAGACACTACAGATTAGTAAGTGGCCAACACAAGCTGATGAGAGAGAGAGAGAGAGAGAACAGACTATGAGCTCTTCTGGAGGTTTGAGAAGCTCCATCTCAGACTCTGTTGTATCCCATTCAATCTGGTGTTCCTTGGCTATTTCCTTCATGACCTTCAATTTTACTTGACCACTAGGGGTTCTAACAGAAAGCTTCTCAATAAGCTGTACGAAAAGGCATGCGCATGAAATTAATCATCTACAGTACTGATTCAAGTAAAAGTCAACATATATGATGTAAAATATGCCATTCAATAATGAAAAATTGATGTATAGTAGAATTTAATCTTTTTAAGAAAGAACAACTGAATTCTAGAACTATTGGTCATAAAAGCAATGGTTGAAATTGTGGAACACAATTACCATTCGATTGACACCAGCGTTGGGTCGTAGATCAACAGCTGCAGACACAAAATCTTTCCCATACTTCTTCTCAAAAATGTCCCGAATTGCCAATAGTTCTGGAATATCTGAGCATCGAGGGGCTGCAAATAGTAAACTCGATATCCCTTCTTTAAGATCTAAAGGGCATTCCCTGGAATATGTTGGACACAGAACAGAGTTACTTGTTTCTGAGCATTTCATGATGTGTGCCTAATAATATCATGAAAATCCTGCATTTCTTGTTACCTTTGCTTTGCAATAATTGGAAGTCTTGATACAACCAGTTCACAGAAGAGCTCAAGGAATTCATTTGCAGCCATAATATTTTGTTCCCTTATCACATGTTCAACCTACAAGTGCACAACAACTCAATCAGAGTCAGACTCCACATCAACCGTAAATATAGATCATAGTCTACTAGATCGATGTAATTTAATTTATAAATCCTTGGTCATTTATATAACCTACAAATCCTTGGTCATTTATAAATCTTGTGTAAATCCTTGGTCATTTATAAATCTTTCCTGTATTGAATAAATTTAATTTCAATTTCATAGAATACATCAAAGCAATCAACATTGAGACAAATCTCCAAGCAAAAAAGAATAAGCATCTTCATATACACACATGAATGCACAAAAAGTTGTATATATATATATGGAAATTGGAATTCAATCTAAATTTAACACTAGATTGTTTACAAACAAACTACCCACAATAAAATTTTACAGTACCATGTACCCTATAACCAATCAAATAGATTTTGTGTAGAGCACCAAATATAACAAGATAAGATGCGGAGGTGAAGAAATTTATGCTCCCTTATGGGACTTTCCCCTACAGTGATCAGTTCAAACAACTTATAATATCAAATTGGGTCTCAAGTAATATTTAAAGCCTCTTAAAAGGTACCCCCCATAAGAGCCTGCCGCCCTGCCCAACACAGGGAAGCCTTAAATCCAAGGAGTCTTTTAATTATAAAATCCACATACATGGTTAATTTAAACAAATATTGAGCAAAAACCACAAAACCTTCTGTAGGTGTGTAATTATGTGCCAACAGCTTCATCTAAATTCAAGTAGAAGCCAAGATAGCAATATTCCAAACCAATGCCCAAAAATGAGAAAGAAAATATTCCATCACAAGACATCCAACAAACCAAAGCTCAAAACCAAAATTGACATATAATAGTAACATCAGAGCATCTCCAATCCTTCACCCTTCTTTTTTTCCCCATCAAATTTAAATTTGATAAAAAAAGTACTCAAAAATCATCTCCAATCCTTTTATCAAACGTTCATCAAACTAAGGAGAGAGTCAAATTTTCATCAAATTGAAAATTCATCAAATTTGAATTTGATGAAAATTTAAAAAGATAAAGCATTGGAAATGAATTTTTTCATCAAATTTGATGAAATTTGAAAATTTGAAATAAGACCCAAATTTTTTACTCAAATCAAGTTTTTTTTACTCAAATTTTGAATCAAATTAGATGGGAAAAAAAAAAGGGTGAAGGGTTGAAGATGCTCTAATATGTAGTTTCCATGTCAAAAGGCAAATAACCCAAAATCAAATTTGGGGATAGCTAGCTCCACACAGATTAATTACAAAACAAATAAAAGTGAGATGAAATGAGAGAAGGAAAATTAAAGAAGAAATACCCGAATGCGAGCAGTGGCATCTTGACCAGATCGAAGAAGCACAGCGATGTCATGCCTCATCTGCTTCACCACCGCCTCTCTCTTGTTCCTCAGCAACTTTATCCTGGCCACTGCCATCTTCGTCATTGTCTTGCTGTTTTTACAATCATCAAATTCAATATACATACACCCATTGTTTGTCAAATTTTAGGGTTTAAAAAAAAGAGAATCAAGAAATGAGAGAAGACAAACCATTTGGAGGAGTTGAAGCCTCTGCGGAAGAGAGAGATTCCTAATTTCATTGCTTTCTTGCAGTGTCTGGTGGCTACACTCACCGCAGTCATGTCTTCTTCTTCTTCCTCAACGATTTGCAGAGAGAGAGAGAGTAACGGTCTGCTAAGAAGATGGGTCGATGATGATAGTGAAGTGAAGCACCGAGCCTGATGATTGTTACGGCTCGGCTTTAATTTTGTTTTTGTTGAAAGGGACGGAAAAAAGAGCCGTTAAAGGGGTTTGACACGTGGAGCAAATATATTGGCGATTGATTGTCAGTTGTAACCCACTATCTGGCACATGGATCGGGCACTGCACATTTGGTTGAATTTTGGGCTTTGAGATTTAAGTTTGGGCCTAGCTGTGCTGTCATCCCTCTGTGGTCCAATGTCCGTTTACTACTATTTTTTATTATATAGGGTTTTTTTTGGGCCAAAACCCATTATTGGTGGGCCTTTTTAGTAATATTCCCTCTGATTTCTAAAAGAATATTGCAAATGCGTTTGTCAAAATTAATGTAATCTCAATAGCCCTTTATATATTTTTATATATTGCAATATTTTTTTTTACGGAAATTTGACTATAAACCCTCTTTACTTTTCTTTTATTGTTAAAAGAACTAAATAAAAAAATTAGACTTTCTAAACCCCCTCATAATTATAAAGTCTTGCATAAAGGACAAAATTTATTATTTAAATATTTTATCAGACTATTTTGCCCTCAATTAAATCTTCCCACCTTCTCCCCCCACTCCCCACCTTTTTCGTCTCTCTCCTCCCCCTCTAAACACAGCTTCTGTTCATAGCCATGTTAGAGGTCACCTAAGTTGCCGGAGCATAGTTCGCCAATGTATTCCGGCCACCAACCGCCATGATTTTCTGCGCCACCCCCTCCTCCGCATCCAATGTCAGTCAAGCCTTCCATTTCTCTTCTGGAAACCCTAGAATTGAAGAAACTAGAGGCTTCATGCACTTCTACCATACTCCATTTACTTGTTTACTAGATTGAAATTCTAACAAAGGTTCTCCCTCTTCCTTCAGTCCTCAGTTCAATTTGTGATATGAGAGGAGCCTTAATTTGAGTTTGCGATCTATGCTTAAGGGGTTCGGGTAAGGTTGATTAACATCTCAGATCTGGATTTAACTAATAACATCTCAGATCTGGTTTGTGGCATTTCGAATTTGGTGTGATTTCACCATTACGAACTCGATTTTGAGTTTTGATTTGGAGTCGACCTTGTAGTTCAAAATTTTGCCTAAGATCTGGATTGATGACTTGACCCTCACATTTGGTTCGATGTCGCTATTTGATTTTCAACATATGTTGATTAGTTTTTGTTTTTGATTTATTTTTGTTGATTTGCCGAGTTCAATCAGGTGTGTGCTCTAGTTTTTGTTTGACAGAATGAAAGTAAAATTTTACTCTGGTTTGTGCTATGTTTTTGTTTGATAGAATGAAAGTAAAATTTTACTCTGATTTGTGCTCTGTTTTTGCTTGACAGAATAAGAGTAAAATTTTATTCTGGTATGTGTTCTATTTTTGTTTGATAAAATGAGAATAAACTTTTACTTTGGTGTTATCTGTTCTATTTTTATTTTTTTTATACAATGATAGTAAACGTTTACTCTGTTATTGTGTACTTCTATTATTTGTTTTTGGACTTCTAGCGTTAGTAAAATTTTACTATCAATTCATTGCAAATTTGAATTATACAATGATATTAAAATTGTACTTTCAGAGTAAAATTTTACTCGATCAAAGTAAAATTTTACTCTGGTAAAAAACATGTTGATTTGCTTTACAATATAAAATTTTACTTTGAATCATAGTAAACTTTACTCTGATTCAGAGTTAAGTTTACTATAATTTAAAGAAAAATTTTACTCTAAAATATACTATGAAGATACCTTAATAGGAGAGCTGATAGATATGAGGGTAATATAGTAAAAGAAACAAGTTGTAAAATATTAGGGGGTTTTGAAAGTACCTATATAATTCTTGTTCTTTTGAAATATAAATTAGACAGTGAGTGGTCTATCACCAAATCTCCTTTTTTTTTATACAATTTTCAAAATTAACAATAATTTTAAGACAATATTTTCATTTCTAAAATTATACACTATCATTCCCGATCAAAGTTAACAAGAAATTCTATTTTTACACAATTATATATGTCAATGCTCCATTTTTTAAGTTTACACCATACATAATTTGATTTTTTTTAAATATTTTCTAAAGGAATTGAGATGGCTGCTATGTCCCAAACAACAACCACTATTGTGCAACTAATGGGTCTCATTTCCGGGCCTATTTAAATAATTCGAACCTTCACTTTTTAAGATATATCAAATAGAATATACCTAGATCAAGTAGAATATTCCTTTCGTCGCCATGCCTAACCCTTTATCCTCTTCTGCCACTTCTTCTTTTGCAAATCCTAGATCTAGAAACCAAAATCTTAAATCTGTCTCTCCATCTTCCTCTCCATTTCCCTCTCACACACACAATGGGATGGGATCATTTGGGGGAGCCACGGAGATAGTGGATCACAGGTGTTGGAGTTGCAACGGTGGTGGTCGCAAGGGTGAATGGTGGAGGGCTACAATGAGGGTTGGGAAGGGAGGTCGTGGTAATAGTAATGATTGGTTGTGTGTATTGAGAAATTAGGATTTAGAATTTTCTTCAAAAAAATAATGTACTTCAGGGATACAAATGTAATTAGACATTATAAGACTTCTTACACCACGTGTTTTGACATAGAATACTCAAAACAAAGTGGGTGTTCAAACTGAAGGATGATAGTGAAAACTAGTGAAGTGTAAGCATTGTGTGGTTAAAATTTATTTAACTCTCATTATATAATACTTGAATTTGGATCACACATTATAATTTGGGATAATTTTTTTGACATTTCGTTTTGGGTCTCTTTTGTGATCAATCAAAGAAGGTCAGTTGCAATTAAGAAGGAATGATGGCTTCCAAATTTGTCTGGAGAGGACAAACCTTCACCAAAAAAAAAAGGGGCAAATTACATATACCTCCCTCGAGGTTTAATTAAATTACAAATACCTCTCTGAGGTTTAAGAAATTACAGATACCCCCCTGAGATTTATATTTTCATAACAAATTGCCCCCTGAGGTTTATATTTTCATAACAATTTGACCTTTATAAATTTGTTATGCAAATAGTATCTTCAGGAGGTATCTGTAATTTCTCAAATCTCAGGGGGATATCTGTAATTTTGCTAAACCTCAAGGGAGGTATATGTAATTTTCCCCCCCCCAAAAAAAAGGAAAAAAAGGAAAAAAAGGAAGGTAAAATCGTACAAAGACTGTGTTGTATGGAGATGAGATGTAGAGAAATCGTGAGCCATATTAATAATTGATTACATGATGTTATTAATGGATATATTGTAGTTAGAAGAGTCCAATTAAACCATAGAGATATTCAATTTCGTGCACGAGTGACATATATTATTACAATATAAAAAGAATTAATACATGGATTTTTTTTATTATTTAATTTTGTTGTTGTTGTTAGATACATGATTATATTATCATAAAATACAGCTAATATGTTTTGTAACTGAGTGGTGGGTGACGAAGATTTTTTATTTAATATCCACTACAAGAAAATAAGAAATTAGCGGCGCTTTTAAAGTGACAGCAGTCCCTATGTTGACGTTGAAAAAAAACGCTGCCTTATAAAGTTGCCGGCAAATTCCTCGGGCTGGCATGACATCATTTTTGACTTTTTAACGGTGTTTCCACAAAAGCATAGAGCAAAAATAAATCAACTCTATTTCAGCTGCTAATAAATCATTTACTCACCAAATCCATGCTGCAGAATTCCAAGTCTCTGGATAATGTAAATTCATGTTACCACATGAACACAAACCGTAAACAAGTAATTATGAGAATCAAAGAGAGAACTTATGAGAGAAAAAAAATGAGGTTTGAAAAAAGCTGATTAAATGTTTTCAAGAGGTGATAAAACAATAATTCATTATTTGTATTGCTAGGAATCTAGAAATGAAGTACATATCTGTTTTACTTTCCAATCTTCCTGAACCAGAACAGAAATTTGCCCCCTTAGTTTCTTGTACAAAATTGTTTCTGCAACAGAGTTATTTGCTTAAACATTATGCATATGGACTTGCATTGATTGATGTTTATGCTATCACAATTTTGGCATTTTTTTCATAAATTTTGAGGAGAGAGAGAGAGAGATAATACTTTAGTCAAGCTTTAAAACTTGCATTGTATTTACTTGCATAACTACAAATTTTGATTCATGTACATGGCTAGATAGCTATCGAATACAAAACTGAAATCCACACACATATCCTCTAAAACTCGGATATGCAGGATATGGGGGACATCTATTGAGCTCAGATTAGTGGGAGACTATGTTTAGAAGAGTGACCCTTGCTTTAATGAATCGCCTAAACAAGCACTCCAAAACATTCTCAACCTCTTCAATGCTAGCCTCCAAAGACTTGAGGCTGTTCTGCGCAATTTGCATCTTATCCCCTTCACTTGAATCACTTCTGCGTAGGCTGTGCAATGTAACATCGACTCTCTCCAACTCATTCACATTCTCCTGTTGATAAATTTCGCATGCCACTGTCCATTTGTGCAGAAATTTTGAAACCAGTGACCGCCTTGTTGGCATTGATTTCAAAACAGGCACAGACAAGAACAAGAGAAGTGAATGGAGAATAGAGATGGTCACTGCAGCAACTTCTCTTAGCACTTTAATCACTGATGAGACGTGTTGATCTAGCTCTAGTTGTGGTGTGGCCTCAATTTTGTTGTCAATTTGCTTCATCATTGCAATCAACGTCTTGGCATCCTTCTTGGTGTTCTTCCTAAAGCAAGTGTATTTAGCAATGCTGATTTCAATGCTTGAATCTCCTTTTCTCCTTCTGAGAGCAGATTGAAGATCTCTAACTTGTTCCTTCATTTGTGTTGTGACATCCCTCGCAGTGCCACAAGTATCCAAAAGTGTTATAAATCCTTCTTGCAAGTCACCAACCCATTTTTCATGTTGATCGTGAGAGAGTGCTTGTTGGGTAAGTGGCAAGTTTAGAAGATCTTCCATGCACTTGTACAAGTCTTCCAATCTTGATAGACCATTGTGGATTGCCTTTGCAGTTGGCGGAGACGTTGCTTCCCATGTCTTGATCTTGTTCAGCTTCTCCTCAATCCTAACTGTGCTAGGATGCGATCTGCTGCATGGCAAACTGATTGATCTCTTTGTTTTTGAAGAACTACCCATTTTTTGTTTTGTAGTTGTTTTCACAAGAAGCTCAAATTTGTGATGGAAACTAGAAGCTCTATGCTTTACTATTTATGTAACACATGAAAAGGAGACAAGATGAGTCATGGACTCTTGATAACAATGTGATGAGCATCAGAGCATGTGATGATGCCGGTGTGGGCTCGTTTTGAATTATGTTAAATTTGTTACATCTTTGCCAACAATGATACATTGATTTGTTATTTTAATGTAGTATGAGGTGTCCCTCTGCATTCATCCATGACTGCCACATTACACTGTGTTTGCTATTATAAAATTGAGGCTGCCTCACCTTTTGTCTTGTTTGGAAGAACATGGAGTCATCAATAGCATCAACAACAAATCTTATTGAATTATACCAATAAAGACACCAGAGACAATGAGATACAGGTTTGGAAGGACTAACAAATATTTTAGAGATAATGGGATATTAAGGTTAGGATTAAAGTAACTTAGCCAATATTTTAATTTGTGCACGAATGGCTTGCTTTCTATGTGTGCTCACTTTGTTCACTAACAATTTTCTATGGAGCACAGAGACTGATCGATCAGATGGCTAAATTAAATAGAGATTAAGCTATAAGCGGCTGTCCAGTAAATAGTTTACGGACTGCAATAATCAGTTGCCATACCCGCAAAGGAATCTTTGAAAATTACACCGATTTCCAAATTGCTTCTTTCTGATCTCAAGAACACCTTGAGGGCTGAAATTCCTCCTGTTGCTGCAACAGAGCACAGACAGAGACAAGATAGTGTATTTGCAAGAAAATGTATGCACTTCCACACTCCTTATCATATCTCAAGCTCAAAGGAGTATGGCTGTAATAACCCGACCCTCATACATGTTCTTTGTTATATTTTCAGATCCTATTTTGTGATTTTTGAATGCTGGTTGTGAAAATTCCATGAGAAAATGAGGCTAAGTAAGTAAACCCATGTTTAAGGATATTCATCTGTTCAACAAGGGAAAATATCTGTTACATCTCTAAGTTAAAAGTAGAAATTGGAAGCCTTAGGGTCTTAATTAACTGAAGTTGAAGTATACATACACGATCAGCATAATTTTTAAGTAATATTAAGCATGTTTATGAAATTTCAATTTAGGATGATTAAACTGAATGATTTTTGTTTTATTCACCTATGATATACTTATATATAAGTATATATTTCATGTTCATATATGTTGGACTTAGAAGAGTTTCCTCAAGCTATTTCCTAAGAGAGAAAGGATGAGAGAGAGAGTGGAGGTTTGAGAGAATTCAACAAGGAGAAGGTAGAGAATCTAAGGAGCTCAAGCTTAAGGTAAATCTAATTATTTTCTAAAACCTTTCACTTAGCTTTGAGTAAGATTTTCCCCTTGGTTATGGTATTTGAAGATGGTAATTGTAACCTTGTGTATGTGTAGAAGTTGACGGGCAAAATACTCTTACTTGGTTTTGGATTCACTTTGAATTAACCATGGAGAAGTTGTATTTGAGCTTTTAATTTGAATTCAAGATATGTGGATATATGTTTATGGATATGTAAAGTTAAAATTCTCATGGACATGTGTATGTTGTGAGCCTAAGAATGATGAACTAAATTAGATTGATGTAATTGCCATCATCTTGACATGATTTTGGACCATGTATTATCAAGTAAGAATGTTAATTTGAGCCTTGTAAATATGTGCCAAAAGGTGGGATTTTGTAAGAATTTTCGGACTGTTTTGGGCAGAATCGCCGCACGTGCGGGGGTCAAGGCCGCATGTGCGGAGGTCAACGCTGCACGTGCGGGAGTCATGGCCGACGTGCGGGAAATGGTGAAAAATAGGGGCTCGGCCACTGTCTAAAAGGCATGTGCGGGGCATTTTGCCGCACGTGCGGGAGAGATTGCCGCACGTGCGGCCCATGCTGAAAACGTGGATCGCTCCGTTTTGCGTGTAGAACCCTCTAATGTTGTCGGATATGTATTTGATGCCTTTCGATATGTATTAATTCCTTCGAAATAAAATGAAACAGAAAGTAATCTGATATGGAAAGGAAACTAAATTGTAAAGGTTGAATGTGTGCAGGGCACACTCCGGGAGGAACAAGCGCATCATCGCAGCACTATGAGTAGTAGTTTCATTATCTACTTTACATAAGGCTATAGATTTCCATTAGCATTACATTTACACAACTATGTTAATGTTTCAAGTATGTATGTTAATTGTATGTTAATGTTCAAATATGTTCCAAGTATGTAAAGAAAGAAATGGGAAAGATAAAATACCTTCCTTCTATAAGACTCTGGGCCTACGGCCATTTAATGTAAGTTGTTATGATATGAAACAAAGTGCTACAGCGAACTAAGTGCTACGATGTGAGCAACCTCTAGAATCCGTGTGAGACACCTCTTGAGTTCGCATAAGTTTGTTCAACGGCTTAGTGCCAAATTATCCAAGGGCGTAACGCATTCTTTTTTAACGGCCTTGTGCCACCATGTTCAAGGGCCTTGTGCCACCATGTTCAAGGGCTTTAAGCCATTATGATTTAAGATGTGATAAGCCAACTGTTATGTTAAAGATTGGGCCTAAGGCCGTTATAAGATGAATACAGAATCAGGCTAACTTTGTAATCTCTGCACTTCCATATATATTGATGTATGTCATGTTTCAAGTTGAGCATTGTTTCATGTATGTATACTATTCACTGAGCCCGGCTCACTCTCTACTATGTCTGTTTCTGTAGGCAACCAACCAGGTGGTCAATCCTAACCCATGACGCCTGGTTTCTTTTTCAACCTTCATGTATCCAAGCACTCACGAGGCCACTTATTTTGTGAAGTTTTTAAGATAATTGGCTATCCTTCCAAGGTTGAATGTATATAACTTCAACAGTTTTTTTGTTACATGCCCAATTATAAGGCTGGGTCTGTATATATGTTTGTATATAAGTACTGCTAAGAAATATTTATTTGGACTCTATCGACCTATTATGATGCATGTGATGTATGAGATCCTGGCTTTAAAAGTAGCTCAATGGAGTTTGTTGGTTTAGTGTTCTTTTAATGTTTTGTGCTTCCGACAAGGCCCCATATGCTATATATACTAGGTTTTATGTCTGTTTTTTGAACGGGTCATGCCCGAACTTTAGGGGCAAGTTCGGGGCTTGACAAGTGGTATAGAGCACGAGTTGCTATCTCAACAACGGATCCATTGAGCTTTAGGGTGTCTAGAAAAAGCTTTAGGCATCTTGCATGACATTCTGAAAAGAATATGAAAGAGCGATGGCAACGTTAAGTCTACTCTTATAATGCTAAACACTTTTGAAATATGTCTATTATGTATAAATGATTATTATGTAGGCAATGGTGAGGACAAGACAGAAGATACAAAAGATGCTACTTCTGCACGGCTGGATAGAATGGAGAGAATGATTATGGAATGGCGGAGACCCTACGGCAACAACAGCAACAGCCACAACAACCACCCCCACCACTGGTACCTCCACCGGCAGTACAAAGATTTCCATGCTGAAGACCGGACTATCACCCTTACTAAGGAGTTTTAAAAAGATGAAACCGACATTCTTTAAGGGAGGAATAGAACCAATGAAAGCTGAAGCATGGGTGTTGGGGATAGAGAAGCTATTTGAAGTCTTTCCCTGCACAGAAAGCTCAGAAGGTGCAATTGGCTGCCTTTACTCTTGAGGATAAGGCACGCAGATAGTGGATGCTTACGAGGACTGTACACCAAGGGTTGACATGGGACAGATTCTTGGAATTGTTTTATGACAAGTACTTCCTCAAAGCATGCGGGATAAGAAGGTAACAGAATTCGAAACTCTCAGGCAAGGGAACAAAACCGTCGCTGAATACGAAGCCCAATTTGCAGAGTTAGCTCGGTTTGCACCCCATATGGTGGATACGGATTATAAGAAGACGCGTAAATTTGAAGGAGGATTACGGAGCGCTATCCTGGATAAGGTTAACATGTTGAAGTTACCTACTTACGTTGATGTGTTGGAAAGAGCCGTCAATAGCGGAAGGGAATCTCGCTACTCCAGAGTCGAATTTCGGAATGGAAAGGGAAAAGGCAAATACTCAATGGTCGAAGGGATCACCTACTCCACCAAACAAAAAGCAGACTTTACGGAGTTCAAATACTTCTACCCCTAGTCAGGATTCAATACCGACTTGTCCAGAATGTGGGAAGAAGCATCGTGGAACGTGCTATCAGAAGTCTGGAGCCTATTTTCAGTGTGGCAAGACGGGTCAATTTGATCAAGGATTGCCCTCAAAGAAATCAACAAAGCAATAATAGAACCACTACAAGTTTAGCGGGGTCTGCACCGACTTCCAACACCAAAACAACTGTTAAACCTACTAATAATAAGGACACTGCGAGACAAGGCAGGGTGTTCGCAATTGGTTCTGGGAGATGTGCAAAATGCGGCAACGGTGGTGTCAGGTACATTTATGTTCACGGTCATTTCGCTCATGTATTATTTGATTCTGGCTCCACCCACTCTTTTGTGTCGAAACTATTTGCTCCTAAATTTAGATAAAACTAAAGAAAAATTGTCTTATATGTTGTGTGTGACCTCACCTTTGGAGGCCCTTGATTTGTACTTCTATCTATGCTGCTTGTGAACTCCAACTTGGGGATATCCGGGCATATCCAATCTGTTGCCTCTTGATATGGTCTATTTCGATATATTCTGGGAATGGACTGGTTAGGTGAATATGGTGCAACTATAGATTGTTTGACTAAGCAAATCAGTTTCCACCCTCCGGGACAATTAGGGTCTACCTTTCAGGGACATGGAGTGACTTCACCACCTTATTTAATTTCCGCAACAAGGGCTTGTAAATTAATTCAGAAAGGGTGTCAAGGGTATTTATGCAGTGTTCTAGAGGGGCAAATGGTGAATGGAATACCGACATGAATCCCAGTTGTCTGTGAATTTCCGGATGTTTTTCCAGAAGAATTACCAGGACAGTTAATAGATCGTGAAATTGAGTTTACCATTGAAGTAGCACCGGGAAACTCAACCCATTTCTAAGACTCCGTATAGAATGTCCGCCAGTTGAGATGAAAAGAATTGAAAATGCAGTTGCAAGATTTATTGGACAAAGGATTTATCCGCCCGAGTGTATCTCCGTGGGGTGTGCCAGTTTTGTTTGTGAAGAAGAAGGATGGAACACTCCGGCTTTGTATCGATTACAGAGAACTTAACAAAGTTACAATCAAGAATAGTATCCGTTCCAAGAATCGATACCTATTTGTCAGCTTCAAGGGGCACAGTCTTTTCTAAGATGATCTACGGTCTGGATACCATCAAATTAAAAGTCAAGGCTGATGATGTTGAGAGACAGCTTTTCGACTCGGTACGGTCATTACGAATTTTTGTTATGCCCTTTGGAGTTACTAATGCCCAGCAGACCTTTATGGTTTGATGAACCGCATTTTTAAGTCCTATCTGGATGAATTTATGGTGGTCTTTATTGATGATATCCTCATTTATTCACAGAATGTGAAGTTCATGAAACCCATCTTCGCTTAATTCTTCAAACCCTCAGGGAAAGGAAATTGTATGCAAAGCTTAAGAAATGTGATTTTGGCTATTCGAGGTGGCATTCCTGGGGCATATTATCACAAAAGGAAGGAGTTTCTGTTGATCCACACAAAATTGAGGCGATTGTGAAATGGCCGACTCCTACCAGTGTGACCGAAGTGCGTAGCTTTTGGGATTAGCTGGCTATTATAGGAGATTCGTTCAAGATTTTTCTAAAATTGCTGGGGCACTTACACAATTGACTCGAAAGGGAGTTGCATTTGAATGGTCAAAAGAGCGGGAATCTGCTTTCCAGGAATTAAAAGATGAAATTAACCACAGCTCCAGTTTTAGCTTTACCATCTGCATCGAAGGGTTTGTAATTTTACAGTGATGCGTCTCATAAGGATTAGGTGTGTGCTTATGCAAGGTGGAAGGGTTATTGCCTATGCTTCACGACAGCTTAACCCCATGAAAAAGAATTATCCACGCATGATCTTGAGCTCGGGCGGTGGTTTTTGCTCTAAAGATATGGCGGGCACTATTTGTATGGTATTACCTGTGAAGTTTACACCGACCACAAAAGCCTTAAGTACCTTTTTACCCAGAAGGAATGAACATGCGGAGCGTCGGTGGTTAGAGTTAATTAAAGACTATGATTACAGATCCATTATCATCCCGGTAAGGCCAACACGGTTGCGGATGCTCTTAGTCGGAAAAATATGGGAGATTTGGCCAACCTGTTTACGGAGCAAAGGGAATTGATAGATGAATTGGATAAAATGAGGGTGGAATTTAAGATACCGGACAGGAAACAGTACTGGCAGCATAATGGCTCAACCGACTTTGCTTGAAGATATCAAGTCACATCAAAGGAGGATGACGTTCTAAAGAAGGTATGTGGTGAGTTGGAGACCAAACCACAATCGGGGTTCAGTTTAGTGGATTCGTACTCAAATTTCAAAACCGAGTAATGTGTCCCAATGTGTTGGAACTTAAACGGAAATTGATGGAAGAAGCACACGCCTCAAGATTTTCCATGCATCGGGAAGCACTAAAATGTACCGGTATTTGAAACAAAATTTCTAGTGGCCAAGCATGAAAAAGGAGATTGCAGACTTTGTCTCTAGTGTTTGCAGTGTCAGCAAGTGAAAGCGGAGCACCAAAGACCAGCAGGATTATTACAACCCCTTCCAATCCCGGAATGGAAGTGGGAACATTTAACCATGGATTTCGTTGTGGATTACCACGGACATCTCGGGTATGAATTCTATATGGGTCATTGTCGACCGATTGACTAAGTCTGCCCACTTTCTCCCGGTGAAGACTCAGTACAATGCAGATAAATTGGCAGTCATTTATGTGAATGAAATTGTAAGACTACATGGTGTACCGGTCTCGATTATATCGGATAGGGATCCGAAGTCTGTTTCCAGATTCTGGCAAAGTTTACAAGAAGCCATGGGTACAGAATAAAGTTCAGTACAGCTTTTCATCCCCAAACTGACGGTCAGTCTGAGAGAACAGTACAAACTCTGGAAGAATATGCTCCGGATGTGTGTGCTAGAGTTTCAAGAAAGTTGGGAAACCATTTACCACTGGTAGAGTTCGCATACAACAATAGTTACCACTCAAGTATTGCAATGGCACCCTAATGAAGCTTTGTATGGAAAGACCGTGTCGTTCTCCCGTATGTTGGGCTGAAGTTGGAGATAAATCCTTGCTAGGCCTGAAATTGTTCAGTTAACCACTAAAAAAGTTAAAGTTATTCGGAAAGATTAAAGACGGCTCAAAGTAGACAAAAAGTTATGCGGATAACCGATGGAGAGATTGGAATTCGAAGTGGCAGTCATGTCTTTATAAAAGTTACCCGATGAAAGCCATCCAAGATTCGGGAAAAGGGGTAAGTTAACGCCCCGCTACGTTAGTCCTTTCAAATTTCTGGAAAGGGTGGGTCTGGTAGCTTATCCGGGTTGCCCTTACCGCCAAATATGAGTCAAGTGCATAATGTGTTTCATGTCTCTATCTTCGGGGTATCAGCGATTCGTCTCATGTTAATTGATTATCACCAAATTGAACTAGATGATAAGTTAATTATGAAGAGAACCACATTCGCATTTTGGATTCGGCAAGTGAAACAATTACGAAATCGAGAAATTCCAATCTAAAAGTGGAATGGCAAAACATTACGGGACCGACGTCAACTTGGGAAAGATGAAGAGGAAATGCAACATCAGTATCCCACATTTGTTTATACCTTAAGGTAAACAGTTGAGGGACCAAACTTATTTAAGGGGGGGAGAGTGTAATAACCCGACCCTCATACATGTTCTTTGTTATATTTTTCAGATCCTATTTTGTGATTTTTGAATGCTTGTTTGAAAATTCCATGAGAAATTGAGGCTAAGTAAGTAAAACCCATGTTTAAGGAATATTCATTCTGTTCAACAAGGGAAATATCTGATACATCTCTAAGTTAAAGTAGAATTGGAAGCCTTAGGCGTCTTAATTAACTATAAGTTGAGTATTACATACCATGATGCAGCATAATTTTTAAAGTAATATTAAGCATGTTTATGAAATTTCAATTTAGGATTGATAACTGGAATGATTTTTTGTTTTATTCACCTATGATATACTATATATAAGTATATATTCATGTTCATATATGTTGGACTTAGAAGAGTTTCCTCAAGCTATTTTCCTAAGAGAGAAAGGATTGAGAGAGGAGAGTGGGAGTTTGAGAGGAATTCAACAAGGAGAAAGTAGAGAATCTAAGGAGCTCAAGCTTAAGGTAAATCTAATTATTTTCTAAAACCTTTCTCTTAGCTTGAGTAAGATTTTCCCTTGGTTATGGTATTGAACGATTGCTAATTGTAACCTTGGTGTATATGTGTAGAAGTTGACGGGTCAAAATACTCTTACTTGGTTGTTGAATTCACTTTGAATTAACCATCGGAGAAGTTGTATTTGAGCTTCTTTAATTGAATTCAAGTATGTGGAATATGTTTTATGGATATGTAAAGTTAAAATTCTCATGGACATGTGTATGTTGGAGCCTAGAATGATGAACTAAATTAGATTGATAGTAATTGCCATCATCTTTGACATGATTTTGGACCAGTATTATCAAGTAAGAATGTTTAATTTTGAGCCTTGTAAATATGTGCCAAAATGTGGGATTTTTGTAAGAATTTTCGGACTGTTTGGGCAGAATCGCCACACAGTGAAGGGGGTCAAGGCCGCACGTGCGGAGTCATGGCCGCACGGCGGAAAATGGTGAAAAATAAGGGGCTCGGACCACTGTCTAAAAGGCACCGTGCGGGGCATTTTGCCGCACGTGGCGGAGAGCTTGCCGCACGTTGCGGGGCTCACAGCCGCACTTGTCGCGGCCGCATGCTGAAAAACGTGGATCGCTCCGTTTTGCGTGTAGAACCTCTAATGTTTGTCAGAATATGTATTTGATGCCTTTTTGATATGTATTAATTCCTTCGAAATAAAACGAAACAGAAAGTAATCTGAATATGGAAAGGAAACTAAATTGTAAAGGTTGAATGTGTTGCAGGCGCACACTCTGAGGAACAAGCGCATCATCGCAAACACTGTGAGTAGTAGTATCAT